AAGTAGCACTTGTATATTTAAGAGGAGAAGCAGGAAAGAGCAGATGTTGGAGGCAAAGGGAGTGAACATGCCAAGGAGGAGCAGGTGGTCAACTGTAGCAAAGGCAGCAGAAAGGTCTGATAGTATGAGTACAGAGTAGTAGTCATTGGCTTTAGCAGTTAGTAAGTGTAACGAGCCCCTGCTCGCTCGGTTCCACTCTCCCGGAACTCCTCAGATTTCGGACCGCGACGTCTGATTTCTCGGTCGTCCGATAATTCGGGATTCGAACTACAGCTACGTGCCGTTCGTATCCAGTGGTGATAGCTCAGAACAAACACCAGGCAGGCTGTATGTAAGTTCAAACAGTAATCTCCTTTATTGGATGCACACACACTTTTATAAACAACAGTTTGAAGGTGGCCCAACCGACCACCTTCCTATTGGTCAACTGCAAAGTATCCTCTAGTCCTCACTTGGGTCCTTTTGGCCATGCAAATGAGGACTTGAAACAGGGTCAGCAGGGATTGGTCCGATAGCTTGAATGGGAGGGCTGATATGTGTACCATTGTCATTAACATTGGGTTTCCAGAGCCGGTATTGAATTATGAAATTGGACGGCTGTAGGGCCAGGCTCCCCTGCAACAGCCGTCCATGGGCCCCGGACACCCAGTTCAACCCACAAGGGGGGGTCTCTATAGTCCTAGGTCCATAGTCTCTAGGAAGGAGGCTAGCCCTCAGGCTCCTCCAGCAGCCCCAGTGACGGTTCAGTCCGTCACAGTAAGTCATTAGTGAGTTTTAGAAGGGCAGTTTGAGTGGAATGTTGAGGGCTGAAGCCAAACTGTAAGGGTTGATATCAGTGAAGGCAGCAGCTCAGACAGTTGTAGACTAAACATTGTAGAAGTTTGGAAGTCAGCATTGTATCTTGCAGCATGCTGAGGCTATCAAAAAAGTAAACCCCCACCATAATCATTGCCCATATGATAAGGCTTTACTTGCCAGCAGATATTTTCCTTCCAGTAAGATCAGCCTGCTTCGTAGCCTTGAGTCACCCTGAGTCCATCTATAATACTGGACTGTGAGTTACAAGGACCGAAATTATGGTGCACATTTGTTGGCCTCAGCTTGCTTTGCTTTATGCTGCTGATTTGCTACCTGAATTTTACTATTACTATCTGGAAACAACTATAACGGATACAGGATCAATAAAACTACGTCAGGTCCAGCTTGTACACTTCAAACTGGCTTATAATATGATACTTTGAACGGTTACACAGATGGCGGGTAGCTGCATTTGAACGGTTATACAGATGACTGTATATCAAAGCGTGCCACCATGCCATCTGTGCAACCCATAAGAGTATATTATTGAGGCTGCATGTAGGGTTTAAAATAACAATTGTATTGCTCAAACTGAACTGGATAATTATTGGCTGAGAAAAAAAAAATGTATGATCCTGCTGGATACATATTCCTTTATATGAAAGTTAGATTACCAGTTATTTATATTGAGAACTTGCTTTATACAGATACCCACTAGGTAAAGTGAACCGTGCCTTGTCTAAGCAACAGGATCACTTAAATGTGCCCCCCAAGTTTCATATAACCTTTACTTTACCTCTACTTAAAACAGCTGCTTATAGTGAAAATAAATCTACAGCCCTATGTAAGCTCTAAGTTGCTATAATTGAAGCTTACACAGGGCAGAGAGGACTCTCCCCATATGGCACGCTCCATAGGAGAGCACTGATGATAGTGATTGGCTCAGCACTGTCACATGGAGCAAGTAGCATGCTTCACCATACCTGGAAGTGCTGTGTTTCCCCGCAGACACTGTCTTATATTTTTTTGGCTCAAAAAAAACCACTAGGTCTTATTTTCGGGGTAGGTCTTAATTTTTTTTTTTATGTACAACAATCTAAAGTTAACGCAAATCCAAATTATATCATCCAAAAGTTAAGAATAGGATGATCGGGGGTGCTGTACCTTTCCAAGAGCAATTTGGTAACCAATCGCTGGCCAGAATGAGCGAAAAGCACTTTCACTATTGATTCCTCACAGGCGGAGTGCATTTGGTATTACTCCGCCAGTGACAGGAGCCGGCGTTATAGAGGAGGCATCGGCTTATGCGGATCTGCTCCATGCGCTGCCGCCTCGCTTCCTCTAGCGCTGGCTTCATTGGCACCTCTGATTCTCTCCCGCGGCTCTTCAAGTTCCCCCTTATGCCACAACCGGCCCTGGGAATGGTCACAACTAGGTCTTATTTTCGGGGTAGGTCTTATTTTCAGGGAAACGGGGTATCATGTATTTTCTTTGATGCCAGCGGCTAAACGGTGTGCCAGGGGAACAAAATATAGATGCATGTATGTTGCTGGGTAGGGGAGTGCATTAAAGCATTGTATTTAAATCTGTATGGTGAGGGTGACGAGTAGATACTGCTGAGTCTTTCCTCTTAGCACAAGTTGTAAGATTAGAACAGCAGGTAGGAGGAAGCGGGAGAGCAGGAATACATAGATGACATAGGCAACATCACAGAAAGGTTTTATAGTCTGATTTAATCTGTCACTTATTCTGTTCACAGTCACTTCCAACTTCGCCTCTTCTCGCTGGTGGTCTTCCTCAGCAACCGGCTTTTTCACAAGACCGTCTACCTGCAGTCCACAGCCGGTACCTCCACCAGCCCACACCCGTCACCTGCCAAACACAAGTCCACACTAGGGCACTGAATCACATGTGTAGGGGCGACGGGTGGGAAGGGAGTCCGTCCCCAGCGGCCATGTTTTTAACTCTTACTGACAGACGGGCGCTGTGCCACATTGGTTAATTTTGTTTGGTATTTTTTTGTTTCCTCCCTTGTTGCTGAGCCCTTCAGTCCGTTGTAATTTTCAGAAAATCATGTGTGTGTCGTACTAGTGCAGCAAACGCCGTCATCGGATCACCCACTTTTTACACTTTGTAGTTTGAAAACTTTCCACAACGCTGGCAAATAAACCTTGCGCATTGAAGAAGAAAAAAAACTAGCGGCTGACGGGGGAGTGCTGCTCCGTGGAGGCCAGTTAGCGCATAGTCAACATTTTTCCTGTTTGATGATAGCACACGAATACAGTTAAAGACTCCGATAGAAGCGTCCAGCTCAAGGGTGGAGATCGAGTGGATCCCGTTTTGATGAGCTTCATAATTTGTGCCAGGTCGGAAGTCTTTTTTTTGTGGGTTTCCAAGAGTTACTGAGCACTAGGGCATCAGCACTCAGGGATGGAGGGGTTAATTACTCTTTTTATTTTTAATACCTTTTAATGTTAATTATTTGTGTCTAATTGAGCTATGAACAGAATAGATCTTTGTCTGACTTTGACCATTTTTGTGATTTAAAAAAAAAAAAAAAAAAAAGCAGAAAATGAACAATTTCTATGTGACTGATTGTGTCCTGCGTGCGATGAGTATTAGGAGGGATTTTTCGTGGATGGCGTCTTTCAACATGTTTTGCAGTATTTCCTAATTGAGATTTTTAACTCTTCGTTAGTTTACAGTGCTCTCTAATCTGCTCTAATTTTGTCAATGGGAAGTCATGTGAAAGAATTCTTGAGTTTAAAGAGGTGCAGGGAGGAAGAGGTTGGTTGTAATGATTGTTGGGTAGGGCTCTGTAATGCCTGGTGCAATAACAAAGACATGAAGAAATATATAGTCCCCGCCATAACACCCTGGGGTGAGGCCTTTCTTATCCCCAGGTTGTACTGTTTTCTCTACTGCGGGAGTGGGCAAACTTTGGCCCTCCAGCTGTGCTATAACTACAAATCCCAATATGCCTCTACCTCTGGGAGTCATGCCTGTAACTGTCTTGTAGTTCCACAACAGCTGGAGGGCTGGAGTTTGCTCACCCCTGCTCTACTATGTACTGGAAGCGGGTCTGTGTTGTGGAGGTACTCGTAGCGACAGGCCTGCTAGGTTAAAGCTGAACTCCGAGCAAAACAAATATTGTCTAAATACAAGAGCTATGTGTATTTTTAATTGAATCTTGGTCTCCTTTGTGTATTTCTTCCAGATTTGTGCAATCATCCCGTATGAAACTTCTGCACTTTTATAGGAGCCTCCTCCTGTAATAAAGACCGGTCACTGCAGCTCTCTCTCCTTGTGCAGGGTGACTGGTCTTGTCTCCACCCCCTCCTGTAATATAGACCGGTCACTGCTGCTCAGTCTTTGTGTAGAGTGACTGGTCTGGTCTCCGCCCCCTCCTGTAATATAGGCCGGTCATTGCTGCTCTCTCTTGTGCAGGGTGACTGGTCTGGTCTCCGCCCCCTCCTGTAATATAGGCCGGTCATTGCTGCTCTCTTTATGCAAGGTGACTGGTCTTGTCTCCGCCCCCTCCTGTAGTTTTCTACAGACAGCCTGCAGTGGGAGGAACCTGCTGGGTCCCTCCCACAGCTCTTCTGTCTGAATTGCCTACATGCAGCCACGTCACTGCTGCTATTACAAGGTAATATCTGTGTTACCAAAGGCAATTGGTACACGCAAAGTGGGTTTATATCCTTTTTTGTATTGAAGATTGTATTAAAATGGAAGTTTTTGTGCTCAGACTTGAGCTTTTACTTTTCAGAGGGCAGCAGGTGAACCACTCACCCCGTTTTAAACTAAAAATCCTGCCGTGTACCTTCTGCTAGTAATGTTAGTTTTCCCGCTGACTCCTGGCTTGCTGATACAATGGCTTCAACACTTTGAAACGCTGACCTTTTTTTTTTTTTTTTTTAGGATACAGATAAGGCGTTGTGACCTCCCTTTTGCTGCAATCTTTTTCTGGGTCTGTGAATCACAGTATTGAAGTAAGAGGGGCAGGTCGTCCAGACAAATTGCCTTTTCAAAAGTAGATCAGGCAGAGAAACTTCCATATTTTGTTCACAGTGGGTGTCCTGGTGGTATGGTGTGGCCACAAGGGGGAAACGAACAAATCAGCATTCCTACTGGCAGCGGTTGATGATTCTGATTCCTACGCCTGCTGTTCACATACTTCTTGATGCTTGGGCTTCCTACACCCTCTGATGGGTATGGGAGAAAGTCTTTGCAGCCCCATATCCTTACACTTAAAGCATCAAGTAATTAAACAGTGCCTAGGCAAGGGTGACATCATCCTCCTTTCAGTGAGGTCCTAGGGAATGTTGTGGAGCCCATATCTTGCTGAGAAGATGACCCCAGCGCTGTGCCGCATCCCCTTCACATGAGATTTTGAGCGGTCAGCATGCTCCCAGGATCTTGATGGCTGTACACCCCTTGTACTATGGAACCTGGAGGAAAGGTGAGCATATCATCTAACACGGCATTTCTCAACCTTTTTTGAGTCGCAGCACCCTTTAAAAGTATGCTCTGTCTCGAGGCACCTCAGCCTAACTTGTGGTCCTCAAAATCCATACCAGACCCTTATCCCAGATAGGACTCTGGTATGGATCTTAAGGGAGAAATCCATACAAAAAAAGTTTGAAAGGAGTTTGGAAGGGTTCATGTCAAGGTCCCCTCTACACATCAGAAGCTCCACCTTCACAGCAGGAGCTTAAATTTCTCCTGAAGGGGCCAAAAGGCACCCCTGGGTTGCTGCAGCACCCTGGTTGAGAAAGGCTGATCTAACCATTTACCCCTATAGGTTTTTTTTTTTTTTTTTTTTTTTCCTCCCCCACAGAGTTTTATTTAGTGTTTCAGAAAGAGGAAGGAAGGGGCACATTTAAAAAGTGGATATTGCATTGAGTCCAGCTCCACTTTCCCAGCCTTTGGCTACTGCAATGGAGTGCTTTAGAGATGTGAATGATATGCCACTTTAATCATATATTTATGGCCGGAGGGTCTGTCGGTCTGGTCTGTCGGTCTGGTCTGTCGGTCTGGTCTGTCGGTCTGGTCTGGTCTGTCGGTCGTAAGACTCGATGGTTTAATACACAACTTTCTGTGGTAACAGATTATTAGTCCATATCTCTACAATCCAGCCTTGACCGCAGCCTTACATATGAAGTGTAGTCATGTACAATGAGTAGATGGCAGTACTGTATATTTACATGGAAAATAGTTGGCAGCGTGAGCTGGTGTATGGCACCGTGCGTTTATTGGGGTGTAATGATATCAAATGTCACAGGTGCACCGACTCATCACCCCACATTCATTCCTATACGTGAGTGCTGTATTGTATGCTATAGCAGATTGTGTGGGAATGTCCGTACAAGAGCCAGCGTATAGACAGCAAAGGGCGTACAAGTGTTGATGAGATGCATTGTGGTGGAAATAATGTATTTTTCTTTATATATATATATATATATATATGTG